GAACTTATTCAACCGTCAGCCATTGTATATATTTAAGTGTTTTGTGTTTATTCAAAGCGCCGGAAAGTTAGATTAAGGGCGGCTACTGTATAATAATAATTATTATGCCATACTCGCCGAGTCATAAATAGGGGCAGATTTATAATAACTCTTCATACATTGTGTATTAGAAATACTTTATGAACAAGGTCGTTGAATTTTCAACTTGTTCTGAGTATCAAAATTGAAAATTACAAACTCTTGTTCCGGATAACTTGCTCAACTTAATAAACTACCTAAATTTCTTATTTTTGAAAATATTTTACGAGCAAGTGTGTGTTCGGCCATTATAAAAAACAAAGAAATAAGTTAACAACACTATCAGAACAATAACGAACTCATTATTACATTATTGTTTTGGCAAATTTTATATGCCACACTTTTTGTAGTTTTCCCAAAACTTATAAAAAATTACACATGTATAAGCTCAAGAAAAGATGACAACAACGTTTTGTCTTGTGATTACTTTGCAACTTTCTTAACAAAAGTTTTAATTTTCTGTAGCGTTTTACTGTTGGTAGAATATTATAAATTAATTTACTGGAATAAATAAATAAATGAAGGTTTTTAATTCTTTAATATTTTAAAAATCGCCAAGTATCTAATCGATTACCTGGAGTGTAATCAATTATATTACAATCATTGGTATTATAAATGATTGTATAACGCAAGGCTTATCCAATTGGCAATTTCGATGACGTTCAGTTAATCAGCGGGTGATTGGACGAGTAATAAACATTTTTTTTTTCGTTTAGTGAACGTATAGAATGAAATTGCGGACGATTGGAAAATTGAGGGAGGGCACAGCATTAGTTCATGTAATAAACAAGGAGGAATTGTGGCCATCAAAAATGTTTATGGTTGTCGTGACTTCAAGAAAGTCAATCTATTTCAGGCGATAGGGCATATTTTTGTAAATACCGTCCTAATAACAACATGAATATAAAAAAACCCAGCACGGGGGGGTTGCGGCACAGTGGTGACGTGGCATAGTTGGATCAAGTATAATGATATCTGACAGTGATTAAAATCACTATCAAAAAAAAACGCTTCGATGCAAATCTTTAGATAGTGTTTAATTTTAAAAAATTGGTGGATTATTCCAAAAGCTTCATAAACTGCTAGTTCCTTATTAATATCCTGATTAAGACAAAGTATGTCGAATAAAAAAGAGATTATTAGAAAATAGTATTTCCCATAAAAAAATTATATTGATCAATACACTTTTCAATAAGTTATAGCATTATAATGTTAAAAATGTAAAAAATAAAATTGAGAATTTTCACACAATAATAGCATTTGGTAGCCATTTTCACCTTGAAGATAAAATAAAGTCCGAAATTTTTTTTTTCCATGATAAAGTATATTACATTAGCTTTAATTTAAGATATATATAAAAGTGTCAGACTTTCCGGAACACTTTCAAAATTTAAGTTGAAAAAGTCAATTTTTTGTGAAAAAGTTGTCATTTTGAATCCCCCCCTGTAGGCAGGTAAAAAGTCAGATTTATAAAAAAAATATACCAAATGATAGGTAAAGACATCATGCATCTACAAAAAAAAGAATTATATTGATCCATACATCTTTCGAGAAGTTATAGCATTATAAAGTTAAAAATATAAAAAAGAATTTTTTTACAAAAATCGTATTTTTTTTATTAAGTTTAATGTCTGTTTTCACCATGAAGATAAAATAAAGTCCGAAATTTTTTTTTACCATTATAAAGTATATTACATTAGCTTTAATTTAAGATATATATAAAAGTGTCAGACCTTCCGGAACACTTTCAAAAGTTAAGTTGAAAAAGTTCTACTTTCTATATGCATTTTTTATATTTGAAGCCCCCCCATATATAGGGAAATAGTCTGATTTAAAAAAAAAGTATATCCAATGAAAGATGTATATAAATACAATTACTCATAAAAAAATTGTATTGATCCATACATTTTTTAAAAAGTTATAGCCTATTAAAGTAAAAAATGTAAAATATAAAATCGAGAAATTTCACACAAAAATAGCATTCGGTATTTTCACCATGAAGACAAGTCCAGAGGTCAATTTTTTTTTTTCAAATTAAAGTATATTACATTAGCTTTAATTTAAGATATATATAAAAGTGTCAGACCTTCCGGAACATTTTCAAAATTTAAGTTGAAAAAGTTCTACTTTCTATATGCATTTTTATGTTTTGAATCCCCCCTGTATTTAGGGAAATGGTCCGATTTAAAAAAACAGTATGTCGAATGAAAGATCTATATAAATACTACTTCTCATAAAAAAATTGTAATGATTCATACATTTTTCAAAAAGTTATAGCATAATAAAGTTAAAAATGGAAAATACAAAATCGAAAATTTTCACACAAAAATAGCATTCGGTAGCCATTTTCACCATGAAGATAAGATAAAGTCCGAAATTTTTTTTTTTCATGATAAAGCATATTACATTAGCTTTAATTTAAGATATATATAAAAGTGTCAGACCTTCCGGAACATTTTCAAAAGTTAAGTTGAAAAAGTTAATTTTTTGTGAAAAAGTTGTCATTTTAAATCCCCCCCTGTGGGCAGGTTAAGTGTCAGATTTACAAAAAAAATATACCAAATGATAAGTAAAGACATCAAGCATCTATATAAAAAAAAATTATATTGATATGTTCATTTTTGAAAAAGTTAGAGCATTATTAAGTTAAAAATATAAAAAAAAATTATTTTACAAAAATCGTAATTTTTTATTAACTTTGATGTCAACTTTCACCACGAAGACAAGTCCAGAGGTCAAATTTTTTTTTTTCAAATTAAAGTATATTACATTAGCTTTAATTTAAGATATATATAAAAGTGTCAGACCTTCCGGAACATTTTCAAAAGTTAAGTTGAAAAAGTTAATTTTTTGTGAAAAAGTTGTCATTTTAAATCCCCCCCTATGGGCAGGTTATGTGTCAGATTTACAAAGAATATATACCAAATGATAGATAAAGACATCAAATATCTATAAAAAAAAATTATATTGAAATGTTCATTTTTGAAAAAGTTACGGCAGTTTTTAGTAAAAAAAATTGAAAAAATTTCGAAAATTAGCGATTTTTAAATTTGTAATTTTTTTGGAGGTTTCCCCCATTTACGGGGAACGAGGTAAATTTTTTCAATTTTTGAGGGTAATGTCTTCGACTAGATACGATTTGTGATCTTTTGACGTATCGTTGAAAGAAATCCGTTCGGTGAGAGCTGAGAAAAAGTGGTAACAGACACAAAAAAAAAAATCACATCTTAGCAAAACCAATACCTTCTCAGCTTCGCATCGAAGCTAATATACGTGATGTATACTAAAATATATCTTGTAAATTATCAAAGTACTCTTGGTTATTTTAAGAAAGCAAGTAATTTGGTGATAAAAAATAATGACTAGAAACCATCTTTTCTTAGCTACAGTTTATAATTTTTATTAATGAATTTTATTAGCTGTGTAAATTTTTTATTCAACTAATATCCTTATTAGGTATTTTATTTTGTTATATTTGATATAATTAAATAAACGCGACTAGGACTCTAACGGCACAGAAAGAGTGAAAATTGTTGCGGCTAAAATTCATCGATAAAAAAAAAAAAAACAAATTTTATCATTGAAAACGCGTTGAGTAAAAAAAAATTCAATAATTAATTTTAAAACCAAAATTATATCATTCAGAGCGGTCCATATTATTCTTTTAAAAGCTATTTCACTTTTGCTCCAGTGACCAATCCGCTCCTGTTATCAAAATGAGTATACTGTTGCATCATTCTTTAATTTAAAAGTTACGATATCAAATAAAGTAATTGATAATTAAGTACTAAGATTAAGACACATCATAAAGGAAATAAATATTTATTGAATATGATAAAGTAAAACAAAAATTATAGATTATCTGACAAGCATTTAAATTGCTTTATTTTGGAACTTAGATTATTTGTAATATTTTTAATTTCAAGAGTATTGTTTATGAGTCTTAATTTAACTAACGGCAAATTTTTGGATCAAAAAATCAATTGTAAGCTTTACGATATTCAAAAAATAATAATAATAATAACCTTCACCTCGATGAGTTTCGAATAAAGAGGTTCAAATCTCAAATCACAACTTAGCAGGACATTGAAAATAAATTTTTAAGAAACTAAATAAATTCATAAATAATAACATTGGCATAAAATTACCAATTCTTTTTTAGAGAATAATAACATTTTGAAACTAATTATTCTGTATGTGCAAATTATGTGTTTCAACATTGCTAATAATTTATGAAAATTTCCTGAAAAAATCTTTTTGTATAGATAGAAATTGTATTAAAAAAAAAATTTTAACGACATTAAAAGATGACTTTATTTATCTCATAGTTTAATAATAAGCTATCGTAATCAATAGTAAATGTTCATTTTATAATTAAATTTTCACTAAATGTTATTATTGGCGTGTAATTTTATGCAATATAAATGTATATTCACGCTGTGGCGTATTAGAAGGGTGAACGATAGGGCAAACCTCCCTCTCCAAAATACAGTTACTTTAATATCTAGATTTTATTTAGGGTTGATCTACCTAAACATCACCTCCCCTAAGGCAAGTCTAAAATTCGTCTCTATATCCTTATAGGGGATATATCCTTAATTATGTTTATATATTAAATAATAATAATTAAACTTAAGCTAGTTTTGGTCGAAATTGGACTTTTATCATTTTACTCGACACCTATCAAATCAATGCAGAATTATTGTTTTACAGCGAAAGTTGCTTAAAAAAAACACCTCATAGATGACCTATTAGCTTTTAATGGTCGCCACGTTTATATGGTGTCGAATAATATATTGTGCTCTTCCCTCATAAATTATAATCTAAGTAATGTATCATTTACGGTCGAGAACCTTGGGCATAAATATTGCACTAATGCTATGTATGCTCCACTCTAAACTATATTTTTTTATGAAACTTACTTGATAAAATAAGGTCTTCCATCACCGTCTAGAGCTTCTTCCCAGCCGTAAGGTAGAGATTTGGCAGTCGGATCTTTGGGCCACGCCTCTACGGGCGGCAGCCAAGACGCTGTTTGAGTGACGTGACTATAACATACAAAAAACAATCATTAGACACATATTTTCACCATTAATAATACTCTAAAAGTATTTAAAACGTTTAGAAATTATAATTTCAATTACATAATGTCACTAGCAGTATGAGTTGAAATTTCATTATCAAAACACTACAATAATAATGTCAGCGTATCGTGACCGTACTTCTGTTAGTATTTCACTAGAAATCCATCAGGAAATTCAAATCATCCTATCTTGTCAGGGGTTTCTTTGGGATAATTCGCGTTAACATTGAAATGATGCTGTACTAATCAAACGAGTAAAACTAGATCGGACAAACTCCATCCTACGTAATTACCGTAGTTCCAACTAGTATACTTTGAATTCATACAAACAAAGTCATTACACTAGTAAGCTTAAGCATTAATTGTTTAACGAGTTATGTAAAAGTTCAACAACTGCAAAACTTTTGTTATTGCACAAATTACTATTTTCTACTATTGTACCTGAATAATAAAAAATTTGCAGTAATATATGGATGTGACAGTGTTATGTGTATATTTTATTATTTTTATAAACTAAAAAAAACAACGTTAAAAAAATGTTTCATAAAAATAATTGTAAAACAAAATATTTAATTTTGTAAATAAATGTAATCAGTTTTAAATAAATAGCAATTGAGTGCTGACAGAGTAGTTTTGTGAATTTAATCAATAAACAGCACGAGTGTTTGGTTAATTTTTTTTATGTTTTGTATACAGTTTAATTTTCTTCCAATCAGTCGGCCTAAGATGATTAATCGTTTTATTTAATGAAATGAAAAACCACAAACGACTCTATCAACCGTTTAAAAGGTTAACAGACATCATAAAGTAACCGATAAAGGCACATCGCACTATTAGTCTTGTTCTTTTTTTTTACAACTTAATTCAGCCGTAGTAATTCCTTTTTATCTTGTAAAAGTTTTCAAACTTAAAAAGTATTTATTCAAACTCCACAACAATCGTAATCGTTCACATACTTTAATGACGGGGTAGAAATTTACAGAACTATTTCATATTATCCCAATACTGTCGAGTCTTCACAATATACTGGGCGCTTTTTGAAATATCTCGGAGTTTGTGATAAATTATATTCAAGTGCACACAACAGTAATAATAGTAAAACTTTAATTGGGATTGTTTAAATCAAATAAAACTACACATGTTTGGAAACTTTTGTGTAAGTTGCGTGTTAAAGAAGAAAAGTTACTCTATTAACTTTTTAGTAATTATACTATTTCACTAGTTATAACCTATTAATTTTTTTGTTTTTCACGTGTAATAGTACTCGAATAATGTTAAAACTTGGTAAATCAACGGTTAAAATATGAATTAATAAATTAAACGTTGAATAGTTTTCTCGTTAAAATATGTTAAAAACCAATATCATTAAAGAGATACAGTGACACCTGAATGGTTATTGATTATAAATGTAAGATGTAAAATAATGTTCCCTATACCACATTTGTAACTCGTATCATAACACATGAATGAAATGAGTAATGTTTCAGTGATACAAATAAATTTTATGTGTGACATTAATTTGTGTTTATGTTGTTTTGAAGATTTTGTCATTTGAATGACAAACAAATTACACTTAATCTCAGTAGATATTACAGGAACATCACAGAAACAAGACAAGTATAACTAATGAATACAACAAAAAATTGTTCGAGATCCTAGAGATATGTCGTTAAATTTTATACAATATAGACATATGATTCAAAGAGGAATTAATTTTTATGTTTATCTTTTGTGATAGTTGAACTTGAGTTATATTTTAAACGAAAAGTACAAATGATTTTAAACGCTTTGTTTTCGAGGAAGAATATTTCTCCAATTAATTTAGTATAAACATGTTTATTTATAGTCTTGTCCAAAAGTTTGGCCGTATTGATTAATAACAAATAACTGAGTAAGTTTTACGCGAGAACGAAAATTTATACTAATTTCCCAAGAAAATAACAGTTAATTAAAATGTAATTCGCAAGAGACCAACGAAGCGAACACGTTACAAAATTTTAAACATTGTCACGCTTTGTGCAAAGGCAATTATGCGCATACAGATAACCATTTGTAAGCTAATCGGCAAAAAAGAACACCATCTACTATGGAAGATGTTATTTTCCTGGAGTTTTATTAATTAAAGGGCCTAACGAAACCTCCCCATCTAAAATAATTAACTGTTAATACTACTGTTATTAAACATTGAGTCAAATAAGTGTATTATGAATTAGCGAGAGTGGAAAATCTTTTTTAGAGCTTTATTTCGTTAATATTCACTAAATGATTAGTTTACTCCTTTCCACTGAAACTCTTTACCTACTGCAGTTTTCACAACTATCGATTACGACGACTTTCACTTTTTATTGTTGTAATTACTATTTTTTCTTCGAAATTAATATAAATCTGACTCACATCCAAAACCAAAATGTATTCCGTTCTTGGAGTCTTCTGGACAACTGCCAGTTCAACATTTCGTTATAATTCCAAGAGATAAAAAAAAAGAAAACTAGACAAGGCGCCAATTTTAGAGCAGGTTTTTTTTGGTCAGCGTATTCGTCGTCCAGGTAATAGTAATTTATTACAACCAGTTGCTCTCCCACCCTCCTGGAGATTTATTTTTCCTCTAGGCCTTTGGTCCTTTTCCAGATCATCTGTATATTTAATTATTTTTTATCGGCCGACAACGATCAAAACTAATTTTTTCAACGCGTTCCATAACATTGGCATGGAATTCGAAAATTAAAAACCTTTCGGGTCTCTGTGTGGTTAGTCTACACATTAATGTTTGAGATGACCGCGTAAAATTTGTTGTTTAGACTAAAACAATTGGCTGCACATCAAAAGTAACAAGCGGTTCGTTGAATCGAATATAGTCGCCCATTAAAAATAACAACAGAGTCGTTGTATTTAATCTGTTTATTGAAAATTATTCGCGTATTACATTAACTTTAACAAATGAATTTTTCGTTTCGAAGTTTCATTGTTTTCATAGTGAAATATAAGACAAGTATCGAGCGGATTTTCATTGTATTATTAAATGTGATCAACAGTTTCCTCCGCAATTATTGATAAACAAAATGTTATTCTGCTGAGACTACCATTTTGGCTTGACAAGGGAAAAAATTACTTACTTTCAGGCTGTTATAGTAACACAACTACCGAGCAAATAAGTTTTCCAGTCAAATTTATTTCATATTAAGTTCACAACAAGAAAAACACTACGAGTTCATTAAAAATAAGAACGCACCAACTTCAGGTACAGTAGAAATTTACTAGTTGCACGGGCGTTTCATTTATTATATACAACGAGTTTATGTAGTTTTCATTATTGTGTCGTTTGTAACTTAAATAGTTTTAAACGTTTATAATTTTTATACAACAAATGTTTTTGAAGTTTTTATTGAAAACGCATCAATAATTATTTTATATTACACAAAAATTGTATTTTATTGTATTCCAATTACTATGAAATTTTATTTGAATGGACAGTAATGAAAAAATATTGAAAATGAATATTAGTTATTATTTTACAGTAACGCCACGATAATAATAACGTTAAATGGTGTAAATATTGTAAATATTTATGGCACTCTTCGTTTCCGAAAAAAGCGTCTAGCAGACACGCTACTGTCCGTGCGAACAGAACTAAAATTATGCATATCGGTAGACGGCATTGCTCCACCGCTTCCACCGTCGATTGTTATTTTTTTGAAAAACGTAGTGCACCTTATGAATTCCTAGTACCGTTTTCAAGTTCTTTTTGTCAGGTCAATATTTCACGACACCGACACAAATGTTGATGGCCAGAAGAAAAATAGCACTCACCTTCTGAATTCCTGGTATCGTTTTCCCATTTTTTTTTTTTTTTTTTCCGCCCGTCGTTTCAGGACGTTTGCGCGAATCCCTGTCACTTTTGTTGCCTATATAAGCGCCCAATTTAAAATATGTTCGCTCCAATAGGTTTGCAAATTATTTTTAGTACGGTAATCGATTTGCGTTACTCTCATAACATTCGAAATATTTCCAAATTAATTTTCAAGGTTAAACGATATAATACTTTGAAAATTAATACTGTGTGACGAACGATGATAAATAAAAACTCGACAAATATATATATCTATCATATTGTATTTTATGTCTTATTACGGAAATGTTTGCCGTCTATTTACTTATTCACATACTTTGAATGAAACGTCAAATGCTCGACACGAGAATAAAATCAAAAATAAAGCGTTTCAACGCCATGGGAGTAATATTTAGAAAACACACACACATTGGAATATAATAATTTGAAATTAAAAAGAGAAAAGTAAATAAACGCTTTCGCAAATTCGTGATGAACTTAGAAGAAATTAAATGAAAGACTAGAGCACACGAGATATTTTCGATATTGCGTGCCGTATAGTGTTATTAAAAGTTTTACTATAACTCTATACGGTTCTTATTATTTACTATAGTATAACTTCACACTCTGTGCGATTTTAACCACACGCAACGGAGCCGAACGAAACAAATATAATGACGGTAGCCCCGTGCAAATGAATTATTACAGTCGAGCTGTGTGTGTGCAAAAGCCGAGACCCAATCGATTTTCGAAAATCAGAATCTGATTTGGAATGCACTGAGCGTCCAAACACTTACCGGAAACTACAAGAGACCGTATTACGAGCCTGTTCTTTTTTAAATATACCTCATGTGCTAGTTTTGCATAAGCTGTGGTTTTTTCCATGGGATATTTTCTCGTGCTAATAGGGAGAGTGCAAATTGCGTTTTCATTGCGTTTCACTCAGTGGTCCGTCGTCATGGATACGTTACGGAACGCGCCGACAAGGAGAGACAACACCGGCGGATATAACGTTTGGCAAGGGAACCCCAGTAAACAGTCTACTACTTATTTCTACGGCAAAATATTAATATAAAAGAAACAAAGTTTCGTCGCTAATTTTGAATCGAGACAATTACACGACCACATCGATTCGGAAA